TTACCAAAGTCAATTTAAAATGAAAAATTATTTATAAATAGAGCATAGACTTGGCAGAGGTTCTTTTCATGATGCTTCCCCCTTCTTTTAACATACTGATAGATCAGACTAACAAATAAGCTTTTTCTGAGAAGGCTTTTTATTAATCGCCATACTGTGTAGTGAATGGAACCTTTCCATAGACTTAAAATACTAATTAAGAAAACAATATGTAGGTATTGTTTTTTAAATTAATACTTGACTTGAGTGAGAGGAAGTTTGTCAATTTTTTGGGGATATGAAGAGGAGTCCGAGTCACTCCCAATCGCTCTGAAGCTTGGTCCAGCAGTCAAGGCAATGGCAAAACTCCCTGATGTCAGCAAGGCCAGGATTTGATTCTGTACCTTTTCAGGAGCTGATGATTCACAGCCGTGTTCTGGGAGGACCTTGGCACAGAAATCACTGGTACTTTCTGAGCTTTTTTGAGCCTTCTAACTGCTGTGCTGTATTTTGTGGCATTCAGAGTTAATAAACTGTTATTCTTTTTTCATGCCTTAATAATACAATAGACCCCATGTCTGGGCTCTGTATGTATTTGGTAATTAATATAGATGACATTTCAATGTTACTGAAAATAAGCTCAGGATTATTGCATGAAATGTAAAAATTTGCATTGAATGATGGGGATATGAGACATGAGGCAGTGATTGCTACTGTCTCTTTGCTTGCTAAGTATCTTCTGTAAGCAACAATAAAATTCTTTAAATATTTTGCATATTATTTATCACATGTAATGTGTTCAAGGAGAGGACTTAAAACTCTCAGTGTTGCCATCTGTGTAAGCCTAGATCTATTGGGTTTTTTTGGGGTTTTTTTTGTTTTGGTTTGGGTTTTTTTTTTTTCCATTTCTTGTTACAGTTGTTCGTCATAATGGAAGAATGTTGTCCTCTTTCTAGCTCATGATATATTTTGTGTATCTGTTTTGTGCAATTAATACTTAACAGTAATGATGTAGTTAATTTGTTGAAGGATGTCATTGCCAGAAAGTTATAGCATGGAGCTTAGGAGCACAATCAGATGTTATTTATACTCCCTTTATACCTTAGTGTTATGCTTCATTTGAAGAAAGAAATAAATAATTTGTCTTTTGTTCAAAACCCGATCTAATTACAACATGATTTTCTCTTACGTTCATCGTCCTAGTCCAGCGCAGAGGCGTTGGCTGCAGTTGATGACAAATCTTCCTGTGCTGAAGTTAACCACTTCTGCAGCTGGTATCGGGAGTCTTCCACAGAGGTGGTGAAGTTAGGAAATGCAGGAGTACGGGTGGTACCGAGGGGGCCCACTCTCGGCTACAGCTGCAGAAAACTGAAACTCAACAGCTCCAGGTGCAGATGCCCTCCTTGCCCATCTTCATCCTGCTTTCCTTCAGGACGTGGTACTGGGAAAGTCTGGAGAGTCACTGCTGGGTGGGGGAAAGAAGGGAGGAGGGAGCGTAGCGGGGCTCCGTTCCCCTGCTCCGTATGTCATTATGTAAGCATACGGCTGGAGGAGCTGGGGGATTGGGCAGCTGTGCCCTCCCAGCCTGCCTCCCCTGTGCTGCAGAAAGCAGTCAGCCCTGGCTGGTCTGTGAGTCTCCACTCCAGATGAGAGGGCTGGTTTGAGTGCAAAATGGGCTTTACCTAAGTATAAACTGGTATGACATCCTCTTAACTTACAAAAACTCTTGTAACCTGAGCAATTAACTGAAAAAACAACATAAAACATGCTGAAAGTGAAATCTTTCTCATGTGAAGGAACATGGGTGACGAGAAAGTCACTGAAAAATGGCTGTAGAGTGTGCCTTCCAATCAGCACATTAAGGAACACCACATACAGAAACTGGGAACTTCAGAGCCTTGCCACTACAAGTCATTGTGCTTCATGGGAACGCAGGAATTACCATGCCAGAGCAGTCTGGCTAGTCCCAACCTCGCCTGTGATAATTGTTAGTGTGAAGGGCTTCACAGAAAGTTTTAAGAAAAGTCCATGGCAAATAACTGTTGATTAGCAAGGTAAGCCTCTTCCCAGTGACGTCAGCTGTTGGCTAATCAACACTCTGAAGTGTGAGTATCCGGTCTGCTGTTAAATCTGCCCAACCCTGTTATGTATAAACACAGTAATAAATCCTCACGCCTATCTACACCTCTATTTTGGTAGGTACAAAGATGGATATGCCCATACATCATGATTTTCTGAATCCCCTCAACGTTCTGCCTTCGGTAAAGCTTACATACTGCATGGCATATAATTAGATATATCTAAATCGTATTAATATTCTGCACAGGCAAACTTCCCCTTGTTCATGAACAGGAGACAGGTAACTGGCAATTCTGGGTTCATCTCTTATTTAGAACTTTTTGTTATGGCCCTTATGTCTATGTGAGCAGCTTATGAGATTAAAGACATTTATTTTCTGTAGAACTTGACAGAAATGTAAAATTGCACCATAAACACATTTGTGAAGTTTTATTAAAAAATCTTTCCTACTTGCTAGTACATAAATATGCTGCTGAAAGCAGGCGGTGTACAATGAATTTAGCAGAAAACTCACAGGGAATCCAGTTAATACGGCCTTTATTAACACCATACTGTTTTAAAAATACTTTCACAGTTTATTGCACAATATGAGCTTGGTAACTACAAGAATACAACAACAATTTTTGGTATTTATTGCATAAGAACGAGTAGCACATACTGTTCCATTACAGTGCCAAATTAAAAGTTAAAAATAATAGGCTAAATCCTACGGCTTACAACTCGGTGTTAAGACTCTACTTTCCTTTACGAAGCAGACTTTATGTGTGCAATAAGGGGCTTACTCAAGATGGGTTACGTTGCCAAGACCTAATCTTTACAGTTCACTCATGGCACGGGCTCCAACTGATTTTCCTATCTCTAAGGCTAACTCCTTTGTGACACAAGAGTGATACATGAGTCACTGTGTTCTTAGCACTGGAGTTACAGGCAAGTTGCTCACGTACGAAAGAGAAGGCAGCCAGATAGTCAACTCATTTATTCAATGGCAGCTCTGAAAGGGCTCGGCAAATTCTGAGCAAAAGCGCAAGAGCAGAGGCGTAGTGTTTATTGGCTTGAAAGAGAGCGCATCAGAAGACATGTTTAGGACT